AAGGGGGGGCAGGAAGAGTTAAGAGGATTACTACTGTTCGGTGTTTGCTTTCTACAAACTTGCTTTTCAGTTGGCTCCACAGTGACGCTAATGCTCATTGTCATGCTTCACGTAGAGGCTGAGACTAGAGTAACTTTGAAGAGACTTTCCCGCTGCTCTGCTGAGTGTTGGGGGAACTATTTGGAATGTAGATCTTTCACAGCATGCCACGGGATTCCTTTTATTCCTATTACAGTGTATGGTAAATGCAAAGATACTTAAAACTCTGAGGGCCAGGACTTTTTTTTTAACCTTCAGATTTAAAGCGACAGTTTACCCCCAAATCTGAAACACATATTTTCCTCTTACCTGTAGTGCTATTTATCAGTCTAGTTTGTTTTGGTGTGAGTTGCTGAGTAACGGAGATATCGGCTGTAGAGATATCTGCCTCCTCTTGAATATAATGGAATTAGAAGGCACTTGAGTTGTGTTGTCATTTTAAAAGCTCAACAGCAATGTCTCTTTCCAAAAATCATGACCTGGTTTCTCAAGATAATCCACAGACCTGGCACAGGATGTAAACACCGATGGCGTCCTACTCGGCATAGCTAGGTGAGCTAGCAGTAGATGAACGCTTCCTTCTGCATGGTGATACAGTTGGCAAGTGTAGTTCAGGAGAAACAAAATAGTTCCCACGTGAAACTGCTCACAACAAGGTCTGTAAATTATGTTGAGAAACTGAGTCATGATTTCTGGAAAGAGACATTGCTGTTGAGTTTTTCAAGTGTACTTTTTTGGTGCTTTGAGCACCACAAGCCGTGTGCCAACTAATTCAATTATATTTGAGAGAAGGCAGATGTCTCTACAGCAGGTATCTCCAACACTCTGCAACTCACACCAAAACAAACCAGACTGATAAATAGCACTACAGGTTAGAGGACAAATGTATTTTTTTAAATTTTGGGGCAAACTGTCCATTTAACCATTTTCATGTTTCATGTTCAGTTAAACAAGACTAATGAAATGCTTGCATACATGTTTTTTCTACCATTTTTATACGCTGTAGCTGTGGACAAAGAAGAATTTCCATCACAACCCTTTTCAGTTTTCTAGGACTGTACCTGTGATTGACGGAGCTGCACCAGCTGCAGAACATCTCTTTTCAGGCGGTAGTCTTTGGCTCTGGCGTCAGTGAACACGTAGATGAAGGATCCAGGCAGAGAAACTTCCAAGGCTTTCTTTATGGCTCCTATGCTCATCTCAGGGCAGTCACCCCCACCCTGGGTGACAGAATTACACATGATTAAATATTCCTTTAAGAAATCGAGTCTATATCTTATTTCAAACTTCAGACTAATTTTATACTCAAACAACTCAGACATAGTTGAGCTTTTGGAATAGAGTGGTTTATTTAGGAGAGATACAGGTTATGGCAAGCATTACACAGAAACATTTTAAACATACTCAAAGCTACACTAAGTCACGTTTGAAAGAAGAAATGAGACAACATGCCTTTTACAAATGAAAACGCACCCCCTCCTCAAAACAATACCAATCACTACAGCCTTACTCTTGGTATGACCAGTGGCTTGTGGTGGCTGATGTTAGCAAACTTAAGATACATATTGCTGTGAAACTGATATTCCTTAGTCCATTTTCTGACTTAATGATTCTTCTCTACACTGTATTAGAGAATTATTGACTCATTTTCCCCTGTAGTCACAGGGACTACCCTACTGCTCGGTAGAGGTTGTGTAGGCTCATTTTAAGCTGTGTCAGTCTACACAGCTATAGCTGGGATTAGTGAGGAACAATACAGTGGTCCCAGGTGCTATAGAATCATTATTTTAAGTGTTCTGGTTCCCACCTGGACAAACAGCTCTTGCAGATCCTGCTGGAACTTCGTTGGGTCAGTGGTGATGGACACGGGGCCGATATCTGCAAGGATGGAAATGTAGTACATCATAACAGACACTTTCCAAATGAACAAATTCAAACCATCTAACAACAGATGTTCTGGTTGTTGTAAAATAGTGCATGCCTAAATATATTCATCCCAAAAGAATAAGGGCTTAGGTCTTACTTGTCTGGCTCTTTCATCAAACTCAACAAAACAACTACATCAGAACAAAGAATTTACTTGTTCCCTCTCAGTGGCTCTGCCTCTCTGCTCAGAGAAAAAGCATCTACGGCATCAAAACCCCAAATAAGCCACAGTCTAATTTATCAGGACCAGAGTGATGCCCTGTAGCTTTTGTGCAAGACATGAATATCAATCATATGCACCACACGGCACAAGAGTGGTTAGATTGGTTCGCTGACAAAATTACAATGCTCAGGTTGTGTTTCACACAAATCGCTACAATCCGGACAAGGTTCGGGTGGCGATAATAATTTTCTGCAGCTGTAGTCAGCGTTTTCTTTCGGGCCACTTCCTCAAGCAGCAGCAGCAGCAGGCTCCAATATGATGGATAAGAACCTGTCAGGGCCTGACACTTGCTTGGATGCCTTCTGGGGCCAATTGCTGGAACAGTTAACATTAACCAATACACAGAGAACGCATTGTTTTTGCTATAGAACTCTGCTGTCTATAAACACAAGCCTTTCATTATAGTTTTTACAAAGGAGAGCCTTATCAGGTAGGGTGGAGCCTCGTGGTTTCTCTGTGTGTCTGAGCTTGTTATTCTGACTGTCAAATACCATTTTGAAGTATCTTTGTGAGACTAATGATACTGAGCATGCAGACATGTGTCAAGCTGATGACATTTCTAACTCATTCACAATCTATTTTTCCAACAGCGGAGGCTTTCAAGTCCTCATCTACTCGTCGTGAGGGACTGTAAAACTCTGACAGCACTGTCATGCCTCTTTTGTAAGCCACCATGGCTTCTTTGCAATCCTGGAAGTTTACAAGGTCCCCAAGGGCAGGGCGCATTAAACACAGACAAAATGTGTGGTGTTAGTGCAGCCTGAGCCCACCATCCCCCCCCCTGACTGGCTAAACTGGGGTGCTACAGAGTTTTCCAGAGGCTTGGATGAAGGTGAGGGAGGGGTGGGGTTGGGGGTAATTACACCCAAGCAGACAGCATATGCTTCTCATCAGTGCTCAAACACCCTCCCCCCCATTAGAGCACTCTTATTTTCAAGCTGCAGCTTTCCCATATATTAAGAGGACAGATGCCCAGGGTGAGGAGCCTTACCTGTCCCACCGACTCCTCATTGTAAAAGCTCAAATATTCCTGAGTTTAGTTCAAAGTGCTGCTCCAGTGTCCAAGTGGACTTGGAGTGAAACAGCTATGGACTACATGTGCAACAGGTCCTGAGGTGTGTTGCAGTTTGCTGTTATCGTTTCAAGTAAAACTACATAAATGACAGCTACAGGAAAATATAAAATCAGGGGCAATGTAACAAATATGCTTGTAATAATACAAAAAGAAGACTATAGGCTGCTGTGTTGCCTGAACCTGGCAACACAATTTAACAGTTTGGCTGATTTTTAAAGCTGCAATAAAGCTACATTTATATGCATTAATTTACAACATAATAAAACTCATGATTAAACATTCACAGCAAATGTGCCTATTGTTTAATTAGGCATTTTAAGGAGAAGTGTGTTTGGTTAGAAAGTACCTGGGTCATGGAAGGGGACCAGGACAAAGTTTTTAATGGGTCTGGTCCTCCGGCTGAGAGTCTTCTCCAAGATCCGTGAGGCGCCCTCTATCACCTGTTTCAGATCGTCGTACATGGAGCCGGTAACATCGAACACAAAGGCCAGGGTCGAGGCGCTGTCACCGGATCCATCATCCTCCTCAGCCCGGGGGACTGCCAAGAGCCTGTGCGCGCCGACACAGAGCGCCAAGACTAGGCACTTTAATAAGACGGTCATTTTTTCTAAGATTTAGTGCATCTGTCTGCTGGAATGAGGCGAATCACATAAAAACAATTTAAAAAGTTGTAGAAAGTTTAAAAAAAAAGTTCAGATTTCAAAGCTATGTAAAGTCTGGGACTGCTTCCAATCGGTAGAAACGATATCTGGAACAATACAGCTCAGCTGAAACACATTAAAATCCAGAGTAAAATACTTCCACAGGAGTACATCCGTGCGTAAAGTTTGGAGGAGCGTGTGGACTGGCTCTGTGTTGGAGAGCCCCAGGAGAGCTCTGACGCTTCAAACGGGGGCGGAGATGGGTATTAAAAGGTTCCCGAGACCCAACCTGATTTTTTTTTGTGTGTGTGAGTGTGTGTGTGTGTGTGTGTACCACGACCCCACTGTGACTTCCAGGCTTTAACCCTATCCAGCATTCCCCCTTCAATTCAATTTTCTCCATAATCGAGGTGGGCCCCCACAGACGTGGTTTTTAACGGCTTTGCGCACATTACCAGCAGAGTCTGGAGCCTGTATTTTGGACATGCCGAGAACATTGTCTCAGTAACAGCCTCGTTTTTATAAATAGCCATCGTTTATATTCAGCTGACACCAATCTAATTTTATACATAGCCCACCCTGAAATCTCCCCTTGGCATATGAATGGGTGGAATAGTTTGACGTGCCACGCAGAAATGTCACTTTCCCTTTTCACTGTGTACAGTATCTGATCTGGATAGAAACACATTATCGATTATTAAATATTATTCACGCGCACTTGATGCCTAGCTATGACGCATCTTGTCTGGAGAGATCAGACCTCACAGAGGAAGTCAGCCTTGATCTTAACTAAAATATTCAGTGTCTTCTTCCAAAATAAGTGGTAAGGACCCAGAATATTTTTGACACAAGCTTTAACTTCTCTTTTTGCTGCATTTAAAACTTCTGTACGGGAATCAAAGATGCACCTAAAGGACAGAGCAGTCTCCAGACGTCCTGACCTCCTCCTCCTTTTGATATCACTTGGATCTGTCCTTGATGAGAAGGAAACAGGAAGCAGGTCTGAGCAGGCCCAGGACCCAGCAGCCTCCACACAAAAGCCACTGAGCCTCATTATCCCCCACCCCCCCACCAAATCACTGCAGAGACATCACAGTTTTATGCAGTTCAGTGTTCATTATTCAACCAAACAGTGCAGGCTTACACCACACAGCGAGTTGGCATGTTCTGTGTTTCAAAGCATGACACACATTTAACATGACATTATTCCCTAAAAGTGAAGTAGGTCAGTGCACCACTGGACTAATCATCTTTTCAAATTTTGAATGCAGTCGGTCAGGGTGTGTGAAGTCTTTGATTATTGTCTTGGGACATGATTCATTAACGATCATAAGGAACATTTTGCAAATACATATGTAAGCAGTCATTCCAGTTGTGCATTAAACAGAGCAGCTGCTTTAAATGATCCTGTATGTAAAAAAAAATCAAACACATCTTTTCCATTAATGTCAAATACAAAGACTAAGAATGCAGTGATAGAAAAGTTAGCCACTTAAATGCATTTTATTCTGTGCTCTTATACTGTTAATCAACAGGTAAATGACATTTATCATTTAGTAAATTCTCATTTGCATAAGGCAGAAAATCAGTGAAGCTGATAAAACATCGTAATGCTGTTAACTAAAACAATCCAAGAATGGAAAAAAAGGCATCATCACATGCTCTGGCCTCACACAGGACAAATACAAAGTGGACAATTGCAACCACGGAGCTCGCAAAAAGCTTTACAACCAGAATTGATGTCTGTTTGTGCCTCTCAATGACCAGGGCTTTGTGTGTGCGCTGAGGGTGGACTGAGATGCTCTCAAAAGAAATAATGAGCCTCAGTTTGGATGCAAGCTGTGAGAAGTCGCTGTGTTGCTTGGTCATGTCATTCAGGATGTGGCTGTGCGACACTGCAGACACTAGACACTAGTGCGAACGGGTAAGTGAAAACACAAAAGGATGCAGAGACTGCAAACATAGTAAAATACTCCATAGAAAAAACTCCTTCAAACACTCTTCGTCAAATAAAAACCCTGTTCTCTCAGGAAAAGGAAACTTCAGAATGTGAGAGTAAAACAATCCCACAATAATGAAAAATACAGTGCAATACATGTCAACACCTTTGATAAAAAATAAAACTTCATTCCATACTCATGAGAAAATTCCCATCAACGCAGCAAAGCAGAAAATAAATTACCGTTTATTTACATTATACAATATACACTATACTGCTTTGTAACTTTAAGTTAGTGTTCACGTTATCACCAAGTAACACATTTTTCCAGATTCTCCCAGGTCTCGAGTTTCTCCATGTGGTGGTGAAGCAGCAGCACAGTTCCTCTGAGCGGTTCACGTGCATCCCCCAGTTTGTAGTATGTGAACAAGATGCACACGAACATCTCAAGGGGGAGTTCAGTTCCTTAGACTGTCCATGGGAAAACCACAACACTGCGTTTGCAGAAATGCTCGTACACAGTCCACAACACTCAGGGGTGTACGCGGTGCCACATAGCTGTAGAAGCACAGATAAATGACTGAGGGTTTTGCTGACATGTTTGACTTCTCCGTCACATCAGAGGATATATTTGTTTACAATCCGAAAATGCAGACGAACAGCTAATCGACACACATGCCATATGGCTGTGCGACTAAAGTTTGCAGTCCACTTCTGGGTGAGCGAGTTAAATGTGGCTTCCTCCCGTCGCAGGTGTGATGGTGCTGGATTTGGCGCGTATATGCTGGGCTGGATCCATCTGAGGAGTTGTGAGAATGATCACCATTGAATAGATGACAGTAAGTGGTGTCATGAAATGTGGGTGTGCTCAGAGCATGCAAGACAAATCACTAAACAGAGCAACTGCATTACTAAAATATGTCTTCACGAGCTCGCTTCACAGTTGACAAAACGCTGAGCAGGATGTCGGCAACAATTGGCAGCGGCCGGTGCATTACATTAGGCAGTGAGAGCGGAGGGCTGTCTCACTCTTCACTCAGCACTGCAAGACTATTCGATTGCCAGCAAACAAGTGGGCCATTTTGAATAATTCATAGGAACAAACTAGGAGCAGAAAGTGGCTTCTTCACTTTAGTTTCAGCCCACGGATTGAGTCTCCTTGCTTTTATTCTTTGCTCTGATGAATTAGACGGTATTATCCTGGAGTTGAAGCATGACCTGAGATTGATAATCACCCAAGCAGAGAAGTATGCAGGTACTAGCTCATTAATACCCCACTCACCTTACATTGCTACACAAGTCCATCATAAAGAGACAATGCCTGCACAATGGAAGGGTCTGCCTTTGAACCCTCCTGAAACTCCTGCAGAGTCAGCTTCCCGTCTGCGTTCTGGAAGAGGAACATGAGACAAAATGAAACTCAAGTCTTTCAATGCTTTAACACGGTGTTACCAGCAGGGGGCAAAACAGCCTCTTAAGCTAAATCATGTTACTCCTGTTCTATGCTGTTGGACTGATCTTTGCTTCAGTGCACTTGGATGGTAGCCACTCTGCCAATACAAATCACTAAGTGCTGCTGTGCTGCACAGCCAGTCCAATGGGCTGATCTTGGCAGTAGTGGGCTGACAAACACACCCATGCAGGCTGCGTCTCAGCTTTCACTGAAGCTGAGTAGATTCTTGGGGCTGAGGGCATTAGCACCGAGGGCTAGTGGCGGAGGAGACTATATATGATGTTTATAGACCGCAGGCGATGTTAGTGACGCTGTGGTGGCTACAGCTTACAGCTCTAAACTTAACAGTGTCCATGTCCATGCCCTGAGGGTGGCAACAAAGGCAGATTCAGTTCCTTTATTAAACTTATAATCATTACTGCACTTGTATCAGTGTCAGGCAAAGTTTGACATTAAACTGCAGAAAGTAACAGCAAATGGCACAGAAGCTAGCACATTATCTTTCATTACTGAAGTCTTTTGATATTATTTCAATATTAAAATACTAACCTTGTCCATCATTGCAAAAATACGGTCCACTCGCTTTTCTGGTGTGTTTTCTTCCTCTGGCAGCTCCACAGTGTTCCCCTGAGATATTAAATCATTACAGTCTCTGCCACTCAAACAATTCAGATGTTTATGTGTGATTCCTGGTAAAACTTACCACCATCTGATATATGGCATCTACGATGTTTAACATCTCATCTCGGGTGATGTAGCCATCATTGTCAAGGTCATATAATTTAAAAGCCCCTGTATGAAAAAAGATGTTGAAGTACATTTTGAAAGGAAAGACTGAAAAGCTACTGTGACTTCATTATGTAAAATAAGAGATTAAGACTATATATTTTTCATGGATTACAAAGCACACAGTGTTTCATTTCTTTAGAAGTGGTGATTGCTGGGTACAGACTGGCAGCAGCCTTTCATGATGACTGTAGTCATTCTGCATATAAATAATGATGACACTTTGTTTCAGCTTTAAAACTTTTGATTACACCTAAAGTTGCAAGTTTTCTTGAGTGTTATATTTGTGTTTTAGTGTTATATCAAAAAAGCTTGTCAACATGTTGGGTCATGACCCCCAGGTTGCATACGCCTGCTGTATCTTGCTGATAATGTTTTATTTACTGTTCTTTCGGAACCCAGCAGTCCCCTTTCATATGCAATGCATATCAGTCAGTCCTAAATCCTGTCATTTAAATGTCAAAAAACAGGAGAGGGTGCATCCTCTTACATCTCAACTTCTCATCCAGAGTCCCCCGGGAAGTCACTGACAAGGCCTGGATGAACTCAGAGAACTCGATGCGTCCATCCTACAGAGTGACAAAAGGCAGAGAGAGAGAGGGGGAGGGAGAATGGGGGAGAGGAAATGGCCCGGAGACAAGATGAGCATCTTGCTTCACACTTGCTGTAGCTGTACTTTCATGAGCTCCTTGCTGTTCTTTCATGATGTCCTTGCTGTATTCTGTTGAAAACCGGGCCAGCCATTTGCTCCAAGTCAGCTGCTATTTTTTGCCCTGCACCTGGCTCTCTCCTGAGGCTGAAATATGTCACCTGTGGTCATTAGGAAGATGGATGCGACTGGCTCCTCATCTAAAAGTTGCAGCACATAAACAACCACTGTATATTTGGGGCGAAGATGTTTTCACATTTTTCTAAGGATTCCGCATCATGAATGGGCATGGCAGATAATTCTGTTCGACAAGGTAGAAAATGTTCTGACACTTATTTCCTCCAGGCTTTGTTACAATCCCATGCACTGAATCTTACCACAGAAGCTCAAAATTTCCAATTACCCTTCAAAAATGGTGGCCTTTAGCATTCTTCTTTGAGGCCTCACTTTGTGCATTGCAGAGAGACATCTGCTAAAGTGGACAGTAATCAAATGTAAAACGAAGCACAAAGTGGCTCAAACGCCACTAATTCAGATCGACTCATCAAGTTATGACCTCCAGCCTCAAGCAACTGCGTGAGACTTACTCAAATTAAACGATTAAAAGGCACTGCATAAAAAACACGCCATTCACTGCAGTGAAAACAACAGCTTGTGGACAACAAACAATGCATATAAATCAACATCTTGGCAGTGGTGCCTTCAGGCTTTGGTCAATTCATATTCTCACTGGATACCAAAGGATTGTGTTGCATCAAAAAGAGCATTCTGCTCTAACAGCTGCCTACCTGTAGCTTTACTCTTATAAAACTGCCAGGCATTCTTCATGGCCCTGGGGTCAGCTCACTTTATCTCTACCAGACATCTGACCAGCCAGACAATGCTGAAGCCATGCGCTGCTGATTGCATAAGTCATAAATACTGTTAAGATCAATGCATTCTCTAACTAAGGGGTGCCGAACGCTAATGAAGGTCACAGATAAACATCAGACCGAGGGGCTGTCTGATCCTCCTGACACAAAGCCTCTTAACTGAGGTCAATAAACCTCCAGGGGCTCGCCAATATCCCAGGAACTGTTCTGCTACAGTTTGCCTTCCTAAACACTATTTGAATAATCTACATCTGCGATCAGACAAATTGCTCCAGACAAATGTTGCATGTAACACTTTGGCCTTGTTAAAATGTGCATTCTCACCATATCCTCAAATCCTTAGTGGATGCGCCCACATAACAGGGAAGGAGTTTCATTCCAGAAAATATATGCATATACACCTTGTGAATAATAAACTGGCATCCACTCTTGGAAACCGATTTCTGGCACAAAACTAAGGCTTACAATTATGTGTTACTACTGATACTGTGACTCATCCTCAGCTCTCTGTTTATGCATTTTTATTAAAAGGATAGAATCATTTATGATGTTGACAATGTCAGAGCAGAACATTATGTATGCAGTGTTCTGATGTGAATGTCCAATGCATGCAAAATATAATAGGATTCTATTCATACTAACCTTACAGTTATCAAAAATAAATAAAAAATATGGCCAACATGTCCTTAAATCTTTTACTGACAGCTTTTAGTTTTCAAAAAAAGCAAACAGGGCTCTGGAATAATAAAAGTCTCAAAATGGAAGGATTTTTATACCGTGTTGCCCTTTTATTCTGTGCAACTTCTGGCTCAAGGAAGGACCTTTAGATAAGCTCTATCCTCAGACACTGTCACTTTGAAAGGGGACCTATTATGCTTTTCTGTATTTTGTGTCTTATATAGCGTGACAATACAGGATGTTCATATTAAACATGGCCAAGGTTTCAAATAATGATGTAAATGCATGAAGAACTGATCCACAGTGATCTACTGTTCTGAACACTCCAACTGTACTGTACTTTACTCTGGCTACAGTATCACGTCATAGTGTGCTGGTTTTCTTTATATAGTCATCTGCTCTAGGCACACTACTGCAAGTGTTTCTATTACATAGCCTACACTGCTATATGAAGCTACATGTTAACATCAGTGAAACATGTAATCTTGGTTGCTGATGTTGTTAACTTCTCCCAGATTTTAGATCATATTCCCATTAGAACATGTCTGATTATGTTTAAAAGCTTTTTATTAGTGATTTTTCACAGTAACAAACTGCCGTTATTCTCTGTTACAGTCATTCCCAAGCTGTGATGACGGTGCAGAGAGGGTAGATATGAAAGTACTGGAAAAGCTGACCAATCAGAGCAGAATGGGCTTTTCAGGAGGCGGACTTAAAGACAGGCGCTGTACGAAGCCATCTTGGACCGAAAGTGAATACAGGTGTTCCAGCACAGACAATATGAGGAAAATAAAGTGTTTTTTGAACATTAAAGCATGTAAACATGTTCTAGTAAAAACCTTACATACAAGAATGAACCTGAAAATGAGCATGACAGGTCCCCTTTAACATAACATTCCTTATCTAGCAGCAACCCTGGACAAACAGCCACTGTCAATTTATGGTACCAAAGGTGGTTGAATATATTTTTCTCCCTTGTAATAGGACCACAAAATATATTAAATTGATTACAAACCTTATTTTCATCAAATACATTGAAGACGAAGGAGGCAAACTTTGTGGGATCTCCAAAAGGAAAGAACTGTTTGTATATCTTCTGAAAGCCCACAGCGTCCAGCTGCCCGCTTGGACAATCTTTAATGAAGCCTTTGTACCTGAAAAATAAAGCACAGATAGACACCACTTAAAGTGTTGAAAATATAATTTATAATGCACTGAGAATACATAATCAAGATAAAAGTGGGCAACAATGATGGCAGACTGAAGTCACCTCCTCACCTTTACAGCAGTCATTACTGATTCAGCTTGAAAGAATGTGCTAGATCAAAAAGGTAAAGTGCAAAGCTATTTGTCTCATTCACAGATAAGACGATCGCCCTAATCCAATAGCGAGCCCAGAGTGGTTAACTCTAATCAAATTACTCTCTAGTCCTCTTTTGATAATATGCATGGCTGATAGATAAGTCTGAGAGCTTCCTCTTGCCCCCTGGAAATGACATATCTAGAGAGCGCCTTAATATCTTTATTAACCTAAATATAGAAGCATCTCATAGGCAATTTCAAACGCAGTCACTCAGAGGTTCGCAGTTTCCTTGTACATCTTCATAAAGGAACACAGCAGCCTTAAAGTCTAACTAGACTGTAACAGGTCAGGGAGCAAGGAAGAGAGTTTTAGCCTTTACAAAAATAAATACTAGATGAAAAGTAAGAGAAGGAAGGGAAAAGCAGGGAAATAATAGCACTCTTTTTATAAAAAGCATCGCAAAAAGCTTTTGCTCTTGATCAACAGCAAAAATGACGCACATTCACACAAGGGAGCACTGCATGTTCGTCTCTGATTCAGAGCAAGTCTGGGGCTGTAATTACGGCCAGAGAGAGAGAGAGAGAGAGTGTGTGCTCTGATGAAGAATGAAGGCCAGGACAGATCTTTTCCACACTGGCTCCTCGCTCCTTGCTCCTCTTAAACTCTTTATTTTTAATCTGCCTTGGAGATAATGAAGCCAGCTCCATACAGTCACAGAGATGGAGAGGCGCTTTGAGGAGCAGCTGAGAAAAAGTTCAGCAAGAAGAGAGGCGAGAAGAGAGCAGAAGCATGTAATTCTCACATTTGAATCATGTGGAGATATGCAGGGAAATGAAAGCCTTGCTCGCTATAATGCATAATACAATCTAATTGGTATTCAAAGTGCAGGGCGCACAATGCATATCATAATCCAAAGCTGACCCATTTCACCTGAATTCTTAAGTCATTTTTAATGTGTGACTATGGAAAATTATATTTAGCAACCAACACAAAAAGCTGAATGGTACTATAACACACTGTACAGCAGAGTGTGTGTACTGTGTGTACAGTATACACTGTTCAATGCAAAAACACAACAGTGCATCTATAAAATATTCAAATAAGTTGTGTCACAGGTTCAGCCACAGTGAACAACAGCTGTCATGAAACAGAATCTGAAAATCCACAACAATATAAGGTTTATAAGAAGTGGCGACACTTCAGGTGGGTCAAACAGCCAATTTTAGTTTAAGTTTGACAAAGTAAAATTTAATTTGCACTCCAATACTCAACTTGTTGACATTAATAATAGCTGGAAAAACCTTTCCTATATCCAGCATCGTTATGACAGAAGGCTAAATTAATACATAAAAATCAATTAGTATCATAGAGAACATAAATGTGGTCCAAGAGCTCTGATTAAGACTGTGTGAGGTCAAAACAAGTCTGCACTTTAAACCGTTATTATGCTTGATTAAATAAGGGCTTTTAAAAGGGCACTCTACCAGTTGTTGGGGGTGACCTGAGCACCATTTTTTGGACTCCAGACCTTCGGTAGTATTCAGCAGCGAGTATTCGAAGCTTCAGTTGGGAGGGATTCAGTCAAGACATTTCTATATTACAGGTGAGATTGACGGCACAGTGCTACAACCTGTTAAGCATCTGTTATCCCAGAGTCAGTAGACAATTTGTTAATTCTGAACATTCATTTCCTATCACTGAATCATTTGTTGGACAAATGATTCAGTGATTCAGCGCCATTTAAAATATTTTATTTACTGTACCCTTAGTTCAGGCTTGAGTGGGTATGTTTGCTAAAAAGAAGCTCGGTGCTTTGTCTCGTAGTGGCACGTCACATTGCTGTTTTCATAAACCGCCAAGGTCTGGGAACATATAATGAGACATACTGGTTTTGATCTGCTCGTGGGAAGAATGAACATGTAAGAGTCTGTCCAGTCTTGGTTATAAGCTCTGTTTTTGCTGTTTACTTTTCTCTCTTTAGAACATGCAATGTGAAATTACTTCTTCTGTATCTCTCTAATGTCTCTGACTCATCTTATCTCTCCAATATCTGCATCTCACTTGAGTTGCAAGGCTTATTCGAAGGCACAAATTTGATTGGCTGAGTAGCATCACGTCTCACAGTCTGAGTTTCCTGGTCACTAAACCCAGGCTTAAAATGCTGCACTGATTAAAATAGAAATGCTCCTTCAAACTTTAACAATCCTCAATAATTTATCGGTTATAGTTCTGGATAGGACGATATCTGGGAGGGGACCCAGGGGACGGAGAGTGATGGCATTTGGTCAGTTTGCTAAGAAGGGGTATTGGCATCCCCCATCAAATCACCTACTGTCTACAATATTGTTGTTTGTATTGTTTTTTGTTAATAATAAATATTTCCCAAAAGTCTTGGTGTGCTTTTTGCATGTTTGTAATGCCAAGGGGTTTGTTTGAAGAAAGTCCTATCTATGCACTTTTTGTGACATAATAACAGGTTATGACAATTTTGTCTTATCATGGATAAATTATAGACCTACATAAATGCTTATAATAATAGGCTCCAAATCCGAGACAATACCTGACAGAGCGCTGTCAAACAGCAGTGCAGAAGCAGCATATTAACAAAGTAAGGATTTACAATTTATATTTATTTATAGGTTTTATAGTCTTTACTCAAAACATCAGAATCTGAAAATTGAAAACCAAATACCTACCTAACCAATTTTACATGTGAAATTCAGTTTGGCATGAGGAGTACTACTCTCTTTGAAAACATTTCTTCTGTGGCTTTGAAGAAACTTTCCACAGTCTAAAAATAACCCTGATGACATCATCACAGTTATCTTGGCAAAAACAAAATGAACAAAAATGTAAACCCTATGTTATAAACTGGAGATATAGCATTTGAAATAAGTGTGCATTTAGGTCTATGACAGATGCTCTTGAGTTACATTATGGTAAATTGAATTTCCCCCTTGGGGATTAATAAAGTATATATA